ACAATCACAACTCTTTGTGATTAACAAATACCAAGACTTGAATCTACGGATTCTATTATTTAATTTATTAGAATATCAATTCAATTAAATAATAGATATTACCATATATGCATCAATTATATATATTTAAAGTGTTTATGTCCAAAGTTGATTGGATCTAGGGCATAACACTTACAAACACACGATGGATATAGATTTATATAGCAACTATGCCAAGCCTTTTATTTTTTGTAAAAGCCAACGATAATATGTTTACATAATGTGCTCGTAATTCAAGACTCGGAATAATTTCTTTCAAACTATGACCTTAATGCTATGGATAACGACACTCTGACAAATGCCATGTTCACCGGCTAAATTTTATTCCACCCACCCACTCAGCTTATGGGTGCAATACCAGGGTCAGAAAATACTTGAAGAGAGAGGGAGACGAACATGGATGAGGGCATCTTCTAAGTTGCACGCATGATCTAACCTTCAGAGACTATTGCGAAGAATTTGGTCAGCTATGGGGAAATCAGGATAAATGTCCACAGGAACCTAGAGTAAGAAAAAAACAAGAAATTTAATTATGAACTCCAACACTATGAGAAAGATTGTAACTTGCTCTATGTTGAGTAAATACCACGTAATGCCTAAAATTGAACAGAAGAATATTACTTATATATAAAACATGAATTTCATCAAAGAGAAACATATACGAGAATATGTTTCTATTAATATAATAGAATGTTAAGTTCAGGTCAAGTGATTAATGGAGGTCTGAAGATAAATAAAAGACAGCAAATTTTCAATTTTTTTGTCCCCACTGATTCTGTTTGAAATATTTGATTTCGGACAAAAAGTTGGGAAAAATTAAACAGACGTTGAGTTCCTAGAGGTAATTTGGAATTCCCAGCCAAAAAACAATCATAAATTTTGGAGCATTAGTCAAATTAAGTACACTTATTTATTATGGATCTACCGCATATTCAAATTTCAACGTTCAACGCGTATTCCCGAATAACCTCATTTTTCAACTATTTAACCATTTCAATTTACCATGTTCAATGTTAGCTGGATTAGTCAACATTTATAAATTGTGATGTAACAACATAATGTTATTCGTTATTTGTAACATGACTTCTTCGACTATAGATAAAACTTTAGTTATTTCGTTCATGATTATGCCATGGGTACATTTGACATAAATACAGGACCTAAATGAATGACAATAGTTAAAACGGTATGCTTACTTTTCTTTTTCATTTTTTTTTCTTTTTTTTTTTTTTTGCAAAAAACTAATTCCAACAATTAAATTCCATAAATATTTAACAAAACAACAAAGCGCATACCTGAATCCTTTCCAGTTTTTCAAGTGCACATTTCAATGGTTGAGTCATCAAACAGTACTTTGAAAGAAGCATGTGTGCTGCGGGTTTGTCACCTTGTGCTTGCAGCGTGAGAATCTCCCGACTCAAGTTCTCAACCACACCTTCAACCTTCAGTAAGAGAGAATATAATACATGTATCAGTTCAATTCAAATGAAGTCGAGGGAATATTGAACAGATCATACCTTATCAAAGTCGACAGAGAAAGTTCCATCAGGGTGTAAGACGAAGGCACCTTTGTCAAATAAATAGTTAAACTGCAGTGCCTGCCCTTTCCTGATCACATTGACAAAAAAAAGGGTGCTTAATGGGAGTATTTCTAGATGTAAATTAGTATTGGAAGATAAAAAATTTACCCGTGAGCTTCCTCTAAGCCAAAACGTACTGAGCGGAAACATCCCGCCAGAAAAGAAACATACATGGATTTGACTAATGTCTTCGGAAAAAAATCCTGTCCCAAGACAAGAAAATATCATAGGAAAGTAAGAAAATCTCTCTTGGACTTCGATCTCAAGAAGATTTCATTATATTTGAAACCAGGAGTGCGTTTCAGGTTTAGAGAGTAAATATGTGAAGTTTAATCTAGAATTTAGAGAGCAGCAAATCCAAGAAGAAACAGTAGAAAAATTCAATATGATTGATAGGAAAAAAAATTGAAATACGGTACACAAAGTTCAGCATTTATAGACACATAATGGCTGCTAACAAACTAAACTAACAACTATAACTGTACAACAGATTCCAGCTCACGTGCAACTGTCTAAACTGTCAACCTCAAACTGACATAACAGTAAACAGATTTCAGCGAATTCAGACTGAGATTTCTTTCCTTTGCTTCTTGAGCCTTCAATTCCAAGGCTTCTATATGAGATTGTAGGTTCCAACAATAAGTAAAAAAAAATGGGCCATAACAGAATTATAAAGCTGAAAAAAGAGAATAATCAATTTCAGTTAGGATCTAGATCAATTATTCAAAACAGTGTTCCTCTGGTCCTGTCTTCCCAATCAATCATCTCCACAGAGCCATATGTGTTGTCAAAATTATTATTGATTGGAAGACCATTACGAAAAGAAGCCTGACGAAAACCAGTAAGAGACGAAAAGCTTCAAAATTTATTAGAATGCAATTTGAATTCTGGTCTTCAACATATCAGCAAACCTTACAAGACTACAAAACAAATGTGATTTGAATTTGAAAGCGACACATGACACAATTATAAATGCTAAAAAAGTTGACTCGTGTGTACAATAACATGAAGGAAAACCTTACTTTCCTTCCAGGAGTCAAATCTCTCTGGGACGTAATAATAAAAGCTAGCAGAAAATTATTTTAATGGACTGAATTAGAGTATGTACTAACTGCATATTGCATGTTGAATTGAATTTATCAAGAAAAGAGAATGCAGAAACTAGAATTCTTCAATGCCACTAATTAAATAGCCCAACCAAAGCTGGAATCTCAATGCCAAAGCACAGCCATTGACGACTTCATGAGAAAAATCCAGAAACAAGAAATGATAATTAAATAGTTAACTATACCTTGCTAATTAAAAAATTTATGGCCCAGAGGCCAACAATGTCGGCTTTAGCTTCTTCCAAAGCGGAGTGAAGTTCTTGCAACTCCTGTATCATAAACCAAAAAGTTCTTCAGCTGACAACAAAGGAATTAACAGAAAGAAGCAACCAAAGAAAGGATTCTAAGTCTTAAATACTTAGAAAGACGGTGAAAGTAATCTCATTTTTGTTGTTCAATAAAAATGATAGTCTTATTGAGTTGTCTTTACATATACAACACAGGTATATCTAGTAAGTGCAAAAGTCTAGAATTATTTTCCTAATTAGATAGGATTATTTCCCAATGAGAAATATCCACTGTATGTATATATATGTAACCCGTTTATGAATCAAGATATGAAATAAGTTGTTATGCCAAATCGATCAACATGGTATCAGAGCCTAATTCTCTAAATTAGGATTTGTGAGTATTTTGAAAATTTGTGGGATTCTTTTCTCTAAATTAGGGATTTGTGAGAGGTCCTTTGTCTCCATTGTCTTCGTCTCTGCAGACGGTGCACTCGTCGACTAATTTTAGGCTATAGACGGAATGGACTATTTTTGGGCTATTCCTTTGAGCTTTCAGGTGGGTTGGTTCCTTTTTTTTTTTTTTTTAGGAGAATTGGCTTATTTTGTTTGGTCTGCTTTATTGGGCTTACAATATTATTGGACTTGTATTATTATTGGGTCGCCCTGGGGTTCATTTGAGCCACTCTCTTTTGTGTCCCTTTCGGTTATTTGTTAATCATGGTTGAAAGTGATAAGAAAATGGTGAATGAAATTACAATAACCCCATCCTCAAAAATCACAAAAAGAAAGTTAATGAGTAGCAAAAATTATGCTCAATGGAAGAGAATTGTCCATAGATATGTGTCAAGTTTAGATTTAGGTAATCATTTGACACAAAAAGAAAGTTAATGGGTAGCAGGAATTATGCTCAATGGAAGAGAATTGTCCTTAGATATGTGTCAAGTTTAGATTTAGGTAATCATTTAACTGATGATCTACCTCTACAATCTGATATTAATCCTGGGATTTGAAAAAAAGGCTGATGGAGGATGATAAACTCTTTAATCAGATTCAAAATACCCTTGACCCGATGGTTGACGATGCCATTAATCATTATGATACTGTAAAAGAATTGTGAGACTATCTAGAATTTATTTATAATAGTAAACAAGATGTATCTCATGTTCATGAACTGATGTTGAAGATTTATAGGGCCAAGCAAAAGGGGCGAAATCTGTTTAAATATTATATTGAGGTAAAACAAAAATTTGAAGATGTTATAGATGCAATTAGAGTAGGATACTAATTTATTTGGTTTCCTAATATAGCTTCCCAACTCTTGTATATATAGATGTATTCACGGTTCTAATGAATATGTTAATTTTCCCATATCAATTAACATGGTATCAGGGCATTAGGGTTGCAAAATCTTTTGGGAAAATTTTTTTAAAACACATTAGGGTTTTGATGTATTAGGGTTCCATTCTTTTTTGGTAACCCTAGTTTGAAACTTCCCTATTCTTACCGCCGTCCACCGCCGACCTGCAGCTCCCCGGTGTCCGACGTCCGCCTCGACTTCACTTTCCGGCATCACTTCTATCTGCAGCCGTTCGTTTCTTCTCCCAGACGCCTGCAGCGGTCCGCGAACGCTTCGACCGGCTCGCCTCCGTCCCCAGCTGCTTCCGGCGCCGTCGTTTGGCCGGCAGCTCCCTCCGGTTTGCTTCCCTCTGCCTTTTCCAGTGGTTCTAGGGTTTGGGTTGTGTCTGTCTTCTCTTGGTCTTGCTGATTTGCCACTGTGAAGGGTTATTTTGTTGCTGATTTGCATTTGTGAAGGGTTATTTTGTCTTCTTGGCTGCCTTTGTATCTCTATTTGGGACTATGGCTGAGAAGAAGTCCATAGTTGTGTCCGATATGGTGCCTGTGATGTCTAAAATCACAGACCATAAGTTGAATGGCTTGAACTATTTGGATTGGAGTAAGACGGTTCGACTTTATCTCCGGNATGGTGCCTGTGATGTCTAAAATCACAGACCATAAGTTGAATGGCTTGAATTATTTGGATTGGAGTAAGACCGTTCGCCTTTATCTCCGGAGTATTGACAAAGATACTCATTTGACTGATGATCCTCCTACAGATGATTCCAAACAGACGTGGCTTCGAGAGGATGCTCGTTTATTCCTGCAAATTCAGAATTCTGTTGATAGCGAGGTGATTGGTTTGATCAATCACTGTGAATTTGTTAAAGAATTGATGGAATATTTGGATTTTTTGTATTCTGGTAAAGGGAACCTTTCTCGCATGTATGAGATCTGCAAGGCCTTTTACCGTGCAGACAAACAGGATCAGTCTCTTACGAACTATTTTATGGCTTTCAAGAGGACATGAGGAGCTTAATATGTTATTACCTTTTAGCCCTGATGTGAAGGTTCAGCAACGCCAACGAGAACAAATGGCTATCATAAGTTTTCTTGCTGGCCTTCCCTCTGATTTGAGACTGCTAAGTCTCAAGTTCTTTCTAGTTCTGAGATCCCTTTCCTGCATGATGTGTTTAGTCGAGTACTTCGCACTGAAGGTACTACGCCTGTTCAACTCAGTAGTGCGTTGGTGTGTCGAAATACTTATGAGTCTGGCAGATCAACCAATCAGAGTGGGAACAAAGGAGGCCCACAGGGACTTGTTACTCGACCATTAGGTTCTGGAGGAATTGTGTGCCATTACTGCCACAAGCCAGGACATACGAAGCGTGAATGTCGTAAGCTTCAATATCAGAATCAACGAGCTCCCTCGGCCCATGTTGCTTCCACCAATGATCATTTGGAGAAATCGGTTATTCTCTCTGTAGATGAATTTGCCAAGTTCTCACAATATCAAGAATCACTCCAGTCTTCATCTCCCCTCTGTCAGGGCCATTGCTGATTCAGAAAACCCAAAGGCGTGCCTTTTTTCCTCATCCTCCAAATGGGTCATTGATTCTGGTTTCTGGTCTATTTTCTACTTTTCAATCTCACACTTCCACTTCTATCGTTACTTTGGCCGAAGGGTCCCCATCGTGTGTTCGTGGGTCGGCACAATTACTCCTACTCCTCTGCTCCCTTTGTCGTCTATCTTACATTTACCTAATTTATCCTTTAATTTGATTTTTGTAAGCCAGCTTACGCGCAATCTTAACTGCTGTATCTCATTTTTCCCTGATCATTGCTTATTTCAAGATCTTATGACGAAGAAGATTATCAGTAAAGGACACGAGTCTGGCGGTCTCTACATTCTTGACACACCGATGCCTACATCTGTTGCTTGCTCTGGTGTAACCTCTCCCTTCGAGGCACATTGTCGGTTGGGTCATCCATCTCTTCATTTGCTCAAGCAGCTTTGTCTCCAGTTTAGTAAGGTGTCTTCCTTAGATTGTGAGTCGTGTCGGTTTGCCAAACACCATCGTCTTAGTTCGAGTCCTAGAGTCAATAAACGTGCTAATCTTCCTTTCGAATTAGTTCATTCTGATGTTTGGGGTCCTTGCCCTATGTTGTCTAAACCTGAATTTCGGTATTTTGTTACTTTTGTGGATGATTATTCCCGTGTCACTTGGTTATATTTAATGAAAAATCGTTCTGAGTTGTTTTCTCTTTTTTGTGCGTTTTGTGTTGAGATTAAGACTCAATTTAATGTTTCAATTCGTACTTTGCGAAGTGATAATGCTAAAGAGTATACGTCCACGTTATTTCAATCTTATATAACCCAAAATGGCATGCTTCATGAGACCTCTTTTGTTGATACTCCGTCTCAAAATGGGGTGGCAAAACGTAAAAACAGACATCTTCTTGAAACTGCACGAGCCCTATTGTTTCAAATGAATGTTCCTAAAGCCTTTTGGGCCGATGCCGTTTCAACAGCATGTTTTCTAATTAATCGCATGCCATCGTCTGTTCTTCACGGTGAGATTCCTTACAAAATCCTTTTTGTCCATAAGACGTTTCCTATTGAACCTAAGATCTTTGGTAGCACTTGTTTTGTTTGGGATGTTCGTCCGCACGTCACTAAGTTAGATCCCCAGTCTTTGAAGTGTATCTTCCTTGGCTATTCTCGTCTTCCGAACCTATCTCCAAACCAGTTCCTGTCAAGCCTCCTATTATTCACGTCTACTCCAGGCATAAAGATCCTGATTCATGTTCCGAGCGATGATCTTCCAATCGCATTACGCAAAGGCACACGTACATGTACTTATCCTATTTCTTCTTTTGTTTCTTATAACTGCTTGTCGTCTCCCTCACAGTCTTTTATTGCCTCCCTTGATTCTATCTCTATTCCTAAATCTGTTCATGAGGCCATCTCTCATCCTGGTTGGCATCGTGCAATGATAGAGGAAATGACTGCTTTGGATGCAAGTGGGTGTTCACAGTAAAGGTAAATCCAGATGGGTCAGTTGCTCAATTGAAAGCCCGTCTTGTCGCTAAGGGATATGCTCAGACCTATGGGGTGGACTATTCTGATACTTTCTCTCCTGTTGCTAAATTGACCTCTGTTCGGTTGTTTATTTCTTTAGCCGCTACTCATCATTGGCCTTTGCATCAACTTGATATCAAGAATGCTTTTCTTCATGGTGATCTTCAGGAGGAGATGTATATGGAGCAACCTCCTAGTTTTGTTGCTCAGGGGGAGTCTGGGCAAGTTTATCGTCTTCGAAGGTCTCTGTATGGTTTGAAACAGAATCCTCGTGCTTGGTTTGGAAAATTTAGTCAGGCTGTTGAACAATTTGGTTTGATGAAAAGCAAGTCTGACCAATTGAAAGTTGACATCATTCTTTTAGTTGTGTACGTGGATGACATTGTCGTTACTGGAAGTGATGCTATGGGAATCTCATCACTTAAGTCTTTCCTTCATACTCAGTTTCACACGAAAGACTTAGGAATGTTAAAGTATTTCTTGGGGGTTGAAGTTATCAGGAGTAACAAGGGCAGTTTTTTATCTCAGCAAAAATATGTTCTTAACTTATTAACTGAGATAGGAAAATTAGGGGCAAAGCCATGTAGTGCTCCAATGAATCCTAACATGCATCTTACAAGTGATGGAGAACTAATCGAGGATTCTGAGAGATATAGACGATTGGTTGGAAAGCTGAATTATCTTACAGTGACTCGTCTAGATATTGCATTTTCTGTCAGTGTTGTAAGTCAGTTTATGACATCTCCAACAGTTCATCATTGGGCAGCGTTAGAACAAATTTTATGTTATTTGAAAGGTGCACCCGGACGTGGTATCTTGTATGCAGATCATGGGCATACTCATATTGAATGTTTTTCAGATGCAGATTAGGTATGCTCCAAATTAGATAGAAGATCCACATCAGGTTATTGCATCTTCGTTGGAGGAAATTTGGTCTCATGGAAGAGTAAGAAGCAGAATGTTGTGTCACGATCGAGTGTAGAGTCAGAATATAGGGCTATGGCACAGTCGTTGTGTGAAGTAATGTGGATATATCATCTCCTAACTGAAATAGGCCTTAAGACTTCATTTCCAGCAAAATTGTGGTGTGATAACCAAGCTCCCCTTCATATTGCATCCAATCATGTATTTCATGAGCGTACTAAACACACTGAAATTGACTATCATTTTGTTCGAGAAAAAATTCAACAAGATTTGATCTCTACAGGATATGTGAAGACCAGAGAACAATTAGGGGATATTTTCACGAAAGCCCTGAATGGGATTCAGGTTGCTTATCTTTATAACAAGTTGGGCATGATTAACATCTATGCTCCAACTTGAGGGGGAGTGTTATAGATGTAATTAGAGTAGGATACTAATTTATTTAGTTTCCTAAGATAGCTTCCCAACTCTTCTATATATAGATGTATTCACGTTTCTAATGGAGATGTTAATTTTCCCATATCAATTAACAGAAGAAAAATGGGTCATGTTTCCTATTACTAGTGATGTGAAGACAATGTAAGAGCAAGAAAAGCGGATTATGGTCCAGTATTTTCTTGCAGGTTTAGGTCCTGAATATGAGGTGGCTCGCACTCAGTTACTTATCAGTGAGGCACTACCTTCGTTAAGTGATATATATGCTCGTCTCCTTTAGGTATGCAAGGATACTGAATATGAGGTGGCTCGCACTCAGTTATACCAGACGGTAGCTCTAGTACGCACAAATTCAAAGTTGAATAACAATTACAATAATAAAGGAAGGGGATGCTAATTTTATTAAATTCTAGACATAAGAAAGAAGTTAGATGAATGATGTAGATCATAGAATAGTAGTTACCTAAAGATTTTGAGAGACTGTTTATTTTTCAAAGAGAAAATAGACTTGTGATATAATTTGGAACAAAATTTCATATAAATACAACTCCCAATCTGCTTTGCAAGAAAAATAGATTGGGGTCAATTCCATAATTGTTCCAAAACTAAATACTGTAGAGACATGGTAAACAGGTGAAGTAATGATTGCCGTGTAACTACAAAACTGACCAATCTCACAGTAGACTTTTGTCCATTTGGAAGTGTTATAGTATGAGGTCCAATTCCATGGCAGCACTCATGACATATGGTGTGAGTGAAGAAAGAGTCAAAGTCTACAAGTTCCCGTTGTTCATTTGCTATGCATACATCCGCTATAGGCTGAAGAATAAGTTTGAACCTGTTTAAGAGAAGCCGCAGATCTGTTAATAAGTTAAAGATATGCAAAAACAAATCTTTAGTCTTCTGAATCATGTTTAATTTTAGAGCTAACATATTTCTGACAGGTATCTTAGAGGTTATTATTAAAAATTAAATTTAAATAAATGAATATGATCCTCTCTAACAACTATAGGTTTTAGATGAAATAATTAACATGGTATTGAGGAAGCAAAAGATGTGCGTCCAAGTCTTGCTGCCCCCATTTATAAAATTGTTCAAGTCATGCCTCTAATAATAATAAAAAAATAAATCCAGCATTCTATTAAGGGGTTGTGTTGAAGACTAAATTTGAATAAATAAATGTGTTCCTATCTAAAAGCTTAAGCTTTTAACTGGGACATTTAAAATTATACATCATGAGGAAAAATTAATGAAAAGATACATACTTTGCCTCTGAAACGTTCTTGAGTATAACCATAGATGTTCCTCTATCTTTGACTATGCGTTCATCATTTGGAAGATTAAATGCAATAGTTTGAGGGCCCTTCACATCCTGTCACAAGGATGAATTCATAATACCTCATTTTCTAAGCTTGACCCAGATATCAGGAGTAATGATAAAACATGCAAAACTTTTGGTAAAAGAATATGCTAAAACAGAAACATATGAACTAAACAATTTTATTATGATTCATATTTAGTCCACTATCTAAACTGTATAGAGATTACAATTTGGTAAATTCTGATTTAATTCATCAAGCAGCTTTAAGATAAATCCAAAGGAAATAAATCCCAGCTGAATAACGTGCTTTCAAGGCACAGTCTTCTGGATAACATAGTCAGAGTAAATATTCTTATTAATTTCACCAAGATATTCATTTCAAAATGGAGGTAACTATAAACATCTATCAAGCTTCCATGTCAAAGTTTAACTTAAAATTAACTTTTACACAAAAGATGCGATTGTCTTCATTTCCAACTGTCATACGGTTCGAATACGCAGAGCCATTGTTGCAGTATTCTGAATTAAAGAGTCTCCAACATTAGTTGAGAAGTTTTTTATTATAAAATAATGCCTCATTAAAGCTCAACTTGTTCAGAAACTCAGCAGCATAAAAGCAAAACATCAGTATTGCTTTGATATCAAGATAATTCTCCAGAATGATTACCCAAGAGAAGATTATCCAGAATATTATAGTACTCACCCCAGCATTATAAACAAGCTGGATGACCCGAATAGGTGCCGCGATCACATCTTCTGACTTATAAATATCGTCCATTGGAAGATTCTTCTCCAAAACCTAGAAAAGCATGCCCTTTGTAAAGAGAAGAATGAAAATAACAAAATAAGGAATAGACTGACAATGAAGATATATTATGAAGCACCTGCAGATTATCACCAAACAGTTTAAGTTGAGCAGTTGCCTTATCGTCCTTGATTCCAATGAATGCCTCAAAAGTAGCCTATGGGAAAAATTGTAATATCAGGTATATGTTTTTTTATGTATCAAAGTAATCTTTCACAAGTGATAATGCATAGAAGCATTTGTCTCTTTTCACAGGATTACTGTCATCTTAAATGATATACAAGTTATCGGCATTCTTATGCATCTCATCGTTCAAACTTTCTATTTATGTCATAGTCTGCCTCATATAGTATTAGAGAGAAAAAGGCAAAGGTATAGACAGTTTAACGTTCAACATTACCTTGTATCCAAAAAGTGTGTCTTCATACGTCTCATATGGGCCAATAGTTATGTCAAGCTTAGAATCCTTGAAGACAAAAGAACAGGAAATATTCAGATTGTGAAATGCACCTAGATAACTTATGTTCTGAGGCTTCAATGTCATCAGACAAGGAGAACAATATGATGTTTATGACTAATCTATCAAGATAAAACTGCAAAAAGCAGACAAGTAGCATATAAGTTTGATAGAAACTCTATGTTCCCTCCCTCTCCGTTCAGATAAAGAAAATGTTGATTAGACTCTAAGAATGGAGGATCTATGAAAGGAATTATACATATATCTTAATGCTCTGACTTCTCGGCTAATTATTGTTGATAATAAGATGTAAAATAAAATAGAGCTAAATAATAAATATTTTAAATTAGTTTAGTAAGATTGCACACAATATAATGGAAAAATGAAAATAATTTTATGAGAATTAAAATAGGTGCCTGCATTCTTTCAGTGAGCTAATAGTTCATTGTGAAGCTCCCTAGCTAGGCAGACAAAAACGATCATCTTGAGTTCGTTCACATATATATCACAAGGGCACCAAGTCCAGTATACTAAAATTACAATTCACAATTAAAAAATAACTATCACAAGACTAGAGGAAAAAACAGTTCATTGCAACTTCATTTTGACTCTTCACTATAAGAGAATTAGCAGCTGATCATTTGCGAATGAACAAAACATGTTTTAATAAACAAGCATGACAACAAGATCTGATCATTTGCACCAAACAGTGAGAGAAACCAAAATAAGTATTCACTAACCAATTCCATCCAAGCAATATCTGAATCATAGTATTCATTTGATAGGAAGGCATCGGCCTTACTGTGCAAGAACTTCTTCAAACTGGACGAGAGAGCTATTTTTTAAATCCCAGTACACTGTTTTCTGCTGTTTTTATACTACTATTTAGGAGCAAGACAAAGCTGTACCTAAAAGAGCTAGTCAAGTCCCCAGCTTTATGAAGTAAATCAGCAGCTCTTACAAGGAAAGAACTATATTCTTCAGAGAAAGGGACAACATATAGATCATGCGTGTCACTAGTGCTAGATGGTGTATAGTGGGATAGTGAGTTATCCAGCATCGCTTCACTTTTCCTTTTAATAACATTGAAAAAGTCTATAGCTTCTGTCCTTTTATCTTCAGGAAGACTGTTTTTCCAAAGCTCAAATTCCTACAACAGAAAGAATAGGTATCATGACATGAGATACGCTAACAATCAGAGATGATAAATAACGAAAGGTTTAGCAAGTGAATCAACTAAATGTCAGGCACGCTATTTTTTTCTTATTGACATAAGATACTTCTTCTATACCATCTTGTCCATATCTGGAGGATAGAAATTTGCACCAGGCGGTTTTGGAATAGGAAATGCTGTTCTATAGTTGATGCCCTTCCAACCAGCTACCGGCTTTGTAGCTTCAGAAAGAAACTTCACAGCTGAGTCTGCAGTAGTCAAAAATGACTCATTTTCATCTAAACAAGACCTGCCAATGGGAATAGGAACAAAAAAGCAAAATGTTTATTATCACGTGAGTGCCAATTCTCTTCCATCTCTACAGTTTATTACTCCATGACCCACCAAAAGTGTAGGGAAAATAAATTGAATATTCAGCTAACAAATAAGTGACAAGGCAAAGGTCCCTTAGTCATTACAGCGTAGATAAATTATGTTTCTTATGCATAATATATCTCTTTACAAAATTATGACGGGCATGGAGTCAACTCCCATTAAAATGCAAGACCTAACAGTTATGGAAACGTGCCAGCACCAAAATTACTTTAACCCAGAGAGGTACCAAATTACCATCCCCAAACTTTGCCTCAAGCAGCCTCTTTCACAACACATTTTATCTTCATACCTATATGTATGTGTAGTTTCAGCAGCATTGATTTAGGAAGTGAATAGTAACAAACTTCAATTTCCACCAAACTATAGATGCATAAATAGTTTCCTGACAGTAAAGACTAAAAATGTTTTCTTCAAGAAAAATATTACCGAGTTACTGAAAAACACCTCTGACAACTACTACAAAGCTCCTGGGTTTGCAATTAAAAAAAAAAAAACAAAATCTATATATATATTTTTTTTTTGATAGGTTCTTTAAATTTATATATATATATATATAAGAACACACACAGGAAGAGATAGAGAGGGGAGGGAATCAAATGAGGGTGAGGAGACAAAATAGTATTTTGCACAAGAAAATGTACCATGGACTTTTGTTGATTAGATAATACATCCATTTCAATTTGTCCAACTGGGATTTATCAGCATTCTGCTCTAACCAGTCTCTTAAAGAGGGGTTGCTGTACCAAACCTGTTTTATGAAGAAAGAGCAAGACTAAAAACAATGTGATGGAAACTGAATTAAAGAACTGAATTAAAGGATATGTCAAATCTATATTTTTGTAAAAGTCTATAGCTTGTAGAATCAATTAGTCAAAGTGATGTAGGATTAGTTTAGGATTTAATTACTATTAGTGATTAGGATTCGTAGTGTATATGCTTATAGGTATGTATTAGTATTGTTATTTAGTTGATATGGTTTCTACTTCTATTAGGGAGTAAGTTATTAATTTTCTTATACTTTCAGAAATTAATTTCTTTTACTTAGTCTACTAGAATTAGTAGATTACATCTTCCAATGCCTATATAAGAAAATTACACTTGTTTCTAAAAACCATTCATATTCATAATATTCAAATTATTCTAGATGATATTCTAGAGCATTTTCATGTTTTTAAAAGATTCAATTTGAACTACCGTACAAAAAATTGGTATCAGAACAAGGTTTTGCCCTTTGGCCTTAGCTGATAGTCACATATGGTGGTAGTGGCATGCATCCCCGCAACAACGATCAGGTGATTGCAAAATTATAAACATCGATTTACAATCCAGAACGAACGATGGATAGGTTTAAAGATATTGTTGTCAACACATATACGTATTACCATTCTTGTATGTACATATATATGGCATGCATTTATAATATAGTATGCATACCTAGTAATTAGCCACAGCTTCCTCATTTAGACAGGTACGATTGATGTAATTGCTTAGCTGGGCAATGTCTATAATGAGAAGAAAACCCACACATTGAGGTATTCAATCCAATTTCATTCTCATGACATGGTATCAGAGCCATACGTCAGAATTTATCCAGTGATTTTTCGAGGGATTAACCTTGCTTTCTTAGGGTTCCAATTTTCGGCTTACCTAACTGTCGCGTTCTTGTTTTCTTGCTCTTGGTGGTTAGAGGCTGTTGGGATTCCACCTATCTTCATCATCGGAGATTTATGTGGTGGCATTGGCATCCACTTTTAGGTCCATTAGTGCGGTTGGCGTTTTCTGTGTAAGCTTTGGTAGCCGACGGCAAGACCTATAAAGTTTCAGTGTAGTCTGGAACTTCTGGCAATACAGTCGACGATCTGTGTTGTGTAGTGCGCGTGAAATTTTTGGATGGATTGGGCCGGCTTGAACAAGTGGATTGATCAGTTAACCTTGCTGCATTATTGGCCTTAATATTTATAGGGCTCCAATAATTTTGGTGGTTGGCCTTTTTTGGGGTATTTTGTTGGATTTGTGATATTGGGCCTTCGATATTAGGCTAACTATTTCTGTTGGACCATCTTACTATTACTGTTTATGTCAGGTCTTGTTACTATTGCTGATTTACTATGTCTAATGGTACTTCAGATTTTTTTAGGTGTGAAATTTACGGGTAAAATGTATTCTGCATGGGAATTTCAATTTCAATTATTTGTAATGGGAAAAGAACTATAGGGTCATACAAATGGAAGTGACCTGACTTTTACTAAACTTCATAGACTGGCTGAGTGGAAGATCAAAGATGCTGAAGTGGCGACCTGGATTTTAGGATATGTTGATCAGCAAATTGTACTCAATCTAACGTATAAGACTGCAAAATCTATATGGGAGTACTTAAAGGTATATAATCACGACAACACTGCCCCACGCTTTTAGTTGGAATTTGACATCGCGAGTTACACTCAGGGCGACCTCTCAATTCAAGATTATTTTTCTAGGTTTCATAGCCTCTAAGGAGAATTTACTCACATTATTTATGCTAAAGTACCAGAAGCATCGCTCTCTACTGTTCATGAGGTTCATGAACAGGGCAAGAGAGATAAGTTCTTAATGAAGTTACACCTTAACTTGAGACCATTCACTCCAATTTGATGAATCGTGATCCAGTGCCTTCTTTGGATGTTTGTTTTGGGGAGTTACTTCATGAGGAGCAGCGCCTTACCACACAAGCCACTTACCAGCAAGACAAAATGATACCAAACGTAGTTGCTATTGCTCAAGGGAAGGCAAAGGACGAGACATGCAGCGATGTTTTAAATGCAAGGAGTATGGACATATTGCTGCTCACTGTACAAAGAAATCTTGCAACTGCTGCAAGAAGCAAGGACATATTATCAAAGAATGTCCTATTCGTCCCCAGAATTGTTGACCTCATGCTTATCAAGCTACTGTGGATCCTGCTTCTTCTGCTACAATGTCGACCATCGATGATGCATCTGTTATTACTCCTGAGATGGATTATTTCAGCATTTTCAGCCTTAGGGCTCCAAGGTAACACCATCTTGGTTTGTTGATTCTCGTGCTTCTAATCACATGACTAGTTCTTCTGCTACACTCAGTAATGTTCAATGTTCGACTATATACTAGATCATCGCACATTCAGATTGCCAGTGGTAGTCAAGTGTATATTCATGTTGTTGGTGATATTAATTCCACAGTTAAAGATGTTTTTTTTATCTCTGAGCTCTCTACTAGTATTATATCTGTAGGACAATTGGTTGATAATAATTGTCATATTCGTTTTTTCTCATGATGGTTGTCTCGTGCAAGATCGGGTGTCGGGGATGATACTTGCAAAGGGGCCTGAAGTTGGACAATTGTTTCCTCTGCATTTTTCCATTCCTGCTGTTATTTCTTTAGCTTGTACAACTATTAACAATAAGAGTAAAGTATGGCACAAACGTTTGGGTCATCTTAACTCTGTTGTTTTTTCTTATTTAGTAAACTTTGATCTGTTGGGCAATAAAGATCACTTTACATCTCTTTTTTTTTTATTGCTCCACATGCAAATAAGGTAAAAGTAAATATCTTTCATTTCCTTCTCATGGTAGTCATGCTGAACGTTTCTTTGATTTGATTCATAGTGATGTGTGGGGAATTTCTCCTGTTATCTCACATGTGAATTATAAATACTTTGCTACTTTCATTCATGATAATACCAAGTATACATGGATTTATTTCATATGTTTTAATTCTGAAGTTTTTTCTGTCTCTTAACAATTAATTGCCTACGTTGAGACACAATTTTCTTCACGAATCAAAGTCCTAAAATTTGATTCAGGAGGTGAATATATGAGTTTCATGAATTTCTTCAGCAAAAAGGCATTGTGTCTTGACGTTCTTGTCCTTAACACACCTTAACAAAATAGTATTGCTGTACGTAAGAATCAACATCTATTGGATGTCGTTCGTACGTTAATACTTGAATATTATGTTCCGAATAAATTCATGGTCGAAGCCTTGTCTACGGAAGTTTATTTACTTAATAGATTGCCTTCCTATGTCGTGATCATTGAAACTCCTTACTTTCATCTCTATCATCAGTATCGTAGTTATCTTGATATGCATACATTTGGTTGTGTTTATTTTGTTCATTTGCCATTTCATGAACATCATAAACTATCTACTCAATCTTTTAAATGTGTCTTTATGGGTTATAGCATTTCATACAAAGGCTATATCTATTATGATCCATGCTCTCACAAATTTCGTATTTCCCTTCATCTTTTTTCTTTGAAAATCAACTTTTCTTTTATACTCATGTTGAGTCTTTATCTGATATACACGTTTTGTCGCATTTTGATGACTAGACTCCTTCCCTTGAACGTTTCAAACCTGGACTTGTGTATGAAAGACAACGACCACCATTGCCTCTTCCTAAGCCTAACCCGCCAGCTAAACCTCCAGACTCCACCACTGCTCCTCAACATTCGGCCAGTCTCTCGTCCCCCTGATCGGTATGGTCTTCCGCATACCACTCATCATGCTACTTTAGCTTCCATTCCTATTCTTTCACATTATTTCGAGGTTCTTAAACATGAATATTGGCGTGAGGTGACGGCTCACGAACTTCGGGCCCTTCAGGCCAACAATACATGGGAAGTTGTTCCTTTCTAAGAATGTGAAATCCATTGGTTAGGTTTACTCGATCAAGCTTCATTCTGACAGAACTCTAGATCATTATAAGGCAGGATTGGTTGCACTTGGCAGCCGACAGGAGTACATAGTAAATTATGAGACTTTTGCTCCGATTTCTAAAATGACAACGCGGACTGTCCTCTCTGTTGCTGCATCCCACAGCTAGCTGATAAGTGTATTTTATACACTTATTAAGGGTCCAAAATAACGACATTTTATAGTTCTTTGGATTATATACTACCTAATTTGTTTTATTTTGTTTTATAGGTAAAACTCATATTTGAAGGATCGGAGAAAACGAGCCAAAAATAGAGAAAAATGGCGAAATTCAATTTATGGGGACTAAAATGCAACAAATCAATAGTTGAGTCGAGCTATAAAACGAAGATCAAAGACGCTAAGGATTCAATTGGAGTCAACTGAAAGCTAAGGAAACAAGATTAAAAGCAAAAAGGATGAAAGTGTATTGAAGGAAAGTTCAAGTACTAAACGGTAGAAGATGATAGCTGGACCAAACCATGAAGCCACATGTTTCAATATCCTTGCGGTCGCATTTGCCCCTCCAAGACCAACATATCGTTTTGCTGTCTTCCTTGCAGCTGCAGCTCACATACCTATTCCAGGCAAAAAAGTTCAAGGACTAAACGGCGGAAAATGATTGTTGGAATGAACCATGAGGCCGCAAGGCTCAATATCCTTGCGATCGCATCTACCCCTCTAATACCTACATACCAGTTTTGCTATCTTCCTTGCGGCCGCAGCTCACATACCTATGCTGCCGCATAGGTCTATTCCAGGCAGAAAATTTAGTTTCCTAATTTCATGCAAACTCTACTTGGTAACGAGATTTTAGGCATCTACATATACTTAAATCCATCCCGTTTGAGCCCTAACCTCCATTAGACCTAAAAATCACATATTCTACCTAAATTGGAGGCGAAGAACAAGGCTTTTCATCAAGATCAAGGCGGATTACACAAGATTGTTGAAGTATATTCATCTCTTTTCAAGATTCAAGTCAAAAAAGTGGATTTTTCCACTTTCTTCCATATTTCTTCTTTCCGGGTGATATTTTTTCAATATTTCTTGTACAATTTGATAATTGGAATGATATGGTAGTTTTTTCATTGTATTCGATGAATGATGAACCCTATTGAATATTTGTCTTGATTCAATACTAATAATTAAGTTATTTCTTGATTTTCTTGATTGATTTTGCATTCTCATTGCATTATTTGATTATTTGACCATCAATTAGATAATTAGTTCTTTATTGTAGTGTTGGGAGACTCACAATAAGTCTAGAATGCGGTAAAATTAACTTATGTAAATAGAATTACCAACAATCTTATCACATATGCAATCACATAGATAAACTACAATTTGATGCATTTTGGTCACATGAATTCGGATTAAGAATAGGACTAGGTCAATTGTCACAAATGAATGAAATTGGCTAGATTATGAATCGAGAATTAAAATAAATGGCAATAGAGGGATTCGAAATCCAATACAATCGTTCACATAATTGACAACATTTTTATTGCTAGAATTGGTATAAACAACAAAAAAAAATCACATCTTTTGTGTCACGAACATTGAATTTAGTAATAACTAGTGAACTAGAATTAAACATTATTTCTCGTGGGACGATAACTCACAACTTACTTTATTACTTGTCAATGTTCCTATACGCTTGCGGGTTTTAACCAAACCTGGCCACTTTATCAAATGGATGTCAAAAATGTCTTTCTTCATGGTGATCTCAAAGAAGAGATATACAAAACCATGCCACCTGGTTTGTCGTCCCCTTCTTCCTCGGATGTCTAAGTTGAAACGCTCCTTATATGGGCTGAAATAGGCTCCTCAAGCATGGTTTGATATGTTTCAATCTACTTTGCTTCAGTTTTCCTTTCAACATAGTCAATATATCTCCTCTCTATTTCACGGGTATTGTTTTCTAGTTTATGTTAAAGATCTTGTTATTGAGACAAATTCCATCTTGATTACCCGCTTGCTGCAGCATCTTCAGGCCTTGTTTCATATAAAGGACCTCGGTCTCCTTACGTACTTCTTGGAGTTGGAAGTCCATACTGTTCCATCCGAAATCCATCTGAACCAGCATAAATACACTCAGGATTTGAGTACTTTGGCTGGTCTTTAGGATTCTTCATCTATGGATACTCCCCTGAAAGTAAACATAAAGTATTGTTGTAAGGAGGGTGATCTCCTATCTGAACCTACATGTTTGGACAGTTAGTGGGTAGCTTGAACTATTTGACTATTACTCGACCCGATATTTCCTTCACAGTTCAAAAGGTTAGTCAATTTATGCAGGCTCTATGTCATCTTCATTTAGCTACCGTTTGCCCTATCATTCGCTACCTCCGAAGATTTCCTAGCCATTGTTTGTTCTTTCATGCTAGATCTCCTCTATGTCTTGTCGCTTACAGTAATGCTGATTGGGCCGGGTGTCCTCATACGCGACGATCTATCACGAGTTGGTGCATATTTCTTGGTGACTTTTTGATATCTTGGAAGAGTAAAAAATGGGATCGCGTCTCTAAATCTTCAACTGAATCCGAATACCGTGCGATGTCTGCTGCTTGTTCTGAGATTATCTGGCTTCATAGGCTCCTAGCAGATATTGGTTATGCTCAGTCGGATCCCAAATACTATTACCATCCAGTTCCTGTCAATTCTGTTTTTCATGAACGTACCAAAACACATTGAGGTTAACTATCATTCTATTCGGGAAGTCTTGACATTCATATTATCTCCCTCCCTCATATTTTCACTGATCTCCGATAGCTGATGCGTTTACAAAGGCTATAACACAACAACGTCATCAGTTTCTTGTGGGCGATTGATGTTGCTTGGCCTACCAGTATCAATTGAGGGGGGATGTCAGCAAATATACGTTTACCATTCTTGGATGTACATATATGGAATATGTGTATATTATAGTATGCATACCTTGTAATTAGTCACTGCTTCCTTATTTAGACAGATACGAGTGATGTAATTGCTTGATTCTTGCCTTGTAATTAGCTAGGCAATGTCTTTATAATAAGAAGAAAACTCTCACAATGAGGTATTCAATCCAATTTCATTCTCGTAACAATTGATGACAAAAAATTGTAGATTTTGATTGCTATGAAAGTTTATCGCTTCATACAACCCCAAAACAAGGCAACAAGTGATTAGAGATTTTCCTAGAGTCCAAGCGAAGTTCAAATTCTCACAATGTGAAACAAAAACTTTAGAAGATTTTTCCTCCTAATTGATTAATTCTCTTCTTCAACCAAACTCAATGATGAGTTTGTTCCACGAGGGAGAGATTAATGTAGATCACGAATAGGGCAAGTAATTATTTTTTTTTGTAATAGGATTTTTTATTTTTTTATCTCTTGTTTAGATTATGATATTTTACTCTTTTAGGTTTTTTATTACTTTTTATTTTAGGTTTTAATTACTTATCTCCCTTGAGTTATTAGGGCTAGGAGATTGTTTTACGTATATAAACAAAGGCTTTGTGATTTTTTCAATGACTAATTTTTGGCAATCACTTTCAAGTGTCAATAGTGACAGTGCGGGATCACATGTGATACTCTATACAAATTCATTTTCATATTAAACATTTTATATAGGTCATCAATCTGAATTTTAAACAAGTTCTTTAACACGTATAGACATAACTTTTACAAATATTAATTTTTGACCAAGTAATTGTGAAATGATATGAAGGAAAAAGTATTAAGGAGACTAGTAAATGAAAAGAAAACCCCTGTAAATGGGATGAAACCCCCTTTTGGTGACTTCTAATAAATATCCCCTTCTAGTGATTTCTAATAAAGTTCTTGACTTACCAAAAGGAAAATAAGTGAAGGAGATATGAAAAAATGCAAAAAGGAAAAAGAAAGTTGGAAACAAGAACAAAGAACAAGTGAAGTACACATGATGAAAATGGGAAGCTTAATTCAACGTAATTTATTTTTGTCGTACTAAAGAAGATAAAACCCAACCCGTGTCGCATGTTGAAAGATTTTATTCTTCTTTTATAGTATCAAAAGAAAACTCAAATTAATAGATTAAATTTAAAAGAAACAAAAAATGAATAAAAAGAAAGAACTCTTGGAGACTCATTCTAGCATGTCATCTTGAAGAAGCATTAAAAGACAACGAAAATAGAAAGACTCAACAATGAAAAACTATTATGATTTCAAATACCAGCCCATCAAAAAGGTGTCAAAACTCAGATTTACAGGTCACATATGATAGTTTCCCATAAAGAAATAACTTAATAAACAAAATCCACAAAAATCATGGAGGACCATATTTAAATCCGAAACAAGTGATCCAAATAAACCCTAAGATATTAAATTTTGTCTAAAATACCTATCCAATTTTTCAGCTCATTCTCCACTGTGTTGTACACACGAAAATATGAATAAAGACACTAATATCCCGCATATATGCGGTTCAAAATACCTGCAGGCAGAAAATTTCATCCATGATTTTAGCAGCTTTAACAAGCATCTTTAGAGCTTCCTTGTCTGAATCGCTGAGCCCCTTCAACTGTATCAATAACGAAGAAAAAAGTAAACTATGAACAGCCATGTCTGAGGAGGTTGCTTATTTTTTGAAAGTAAATGATTTCTTCTCCATATATTCTTCATACATGGGGGACACAGAGTGTCTAAGGTGTGAGAGGAGCAAACGAGCAGTCTATTAATTCTTGGGCAGGATTTAAACAGAGCTACAATAATAAAATGTGGTTGTACATTTTCATTTCATTTTTCACTTATTTCACCTAATGAAATGAAATAAAACAGTAAACTTAATTCTTTGCAATTTGGCATCGAACTAAAACATTGAGTATAAGTCAGAAGATAATAGAAAACGTGGCCTTATGTGCTGTGTTCTAGTAGATGAATTTATTGAACTCATCTTAAAAATTAAGTGGTTAACAATGGGCTAAGGGGGACACATTTATATATTTAAGTTTAGTCTTCGACACTCCTACCCAATGCAAACTAGCTTTTATAATGTGTTCAAATTTATAAATTTAAATTAATTCTTCAACATACGAAGTCTCTGATAGGTTCCAGTGGAATGTGAACATTTCCATTCAGTTAGTTCGAGTAGGGGGTGCGGTAGTTTGTGAAGGTTATGTAATAAACAAAGCAGGCGCAAATAAATGCAACGGTTGGACGGTTCTGTTATTTTCATTGAGAAATCGAGAGAGGGTTTGGGAGAGAAGCTAAGCCTCTCAAAAGCTTAGCATTTTAGTGTAATTCCTTCCCATTTTATCCAATACAAAATATATAAATACAATATTCTTCAATTGAAAGTTCAAATAATTACACATAAAGAGGATTTTATAGTCTCTTAGTGTATGTTGCTCGTTGATGACATAGTTTTAGCTAATGAGACAATTACAGAAGTCAAGTCCTAAATAGAATTTTGATAAAGCGCTTGAGAATCTAGAAGTTTTAGGTTAAGTAGAACCAAGACACAGTATATGCAAATGCTCATTCAGTAGTAGCACAAATATGGACACTAATGGAGTTACTATGAAGGATAGTGTTATTCCAAAAGTGATCATTTCGCGTATCGAACTTTGCTTACAAACAATGAGGGCTTGAAGACAATATAATGCATAGGATTAGAGTGGCTAGATGAAATTGAAGAAGGGCTACATGAATTTATGCAATTACAAGATTCCATTATGGTTAAAATTCCAGTTGGGATGAGTTTGTAAATGGTTTAATTCATAAATTAGATAGAAATAAATGATGTATAAGTGGATAATACTTGTATGTCCATTCGAATATGTGGTTAAAATTGAAATTTAACCGTTTATAGTTTTTGTCAAATGGAGGATAAAAGGCAAGTTCTACACAACCGTGATTAAACCAGCTATGATTTTGGTTTTGAGTGTGTGACCATAATGAGACAGAATGCCCCTAAAATTGATGTAGTAGAAACATAAATACTAAGATAGATGTACGGTCTTACTAAAATGGATAAGATGAGAAATGAGAACTTGCACCAAGTGGAGGTGGCAATGATTGAAGATATATTACGAGAAGGACGACTTAGATGGTTGGGTCATACATAATGCATCAGCCTAAAAGACTGTAATTCATAAGAGGGATGCGATCTCGCTGGAGCAAGTTAAAAAAGCGAGGCAATGGATTTAATTAACATGACTTGCTCTTTTTTCTAAAGATCTAGTTTCTTCAAATCTTAGATCTAACAATGAAAGAAAGTAGAATGACAAAGAAGGATTCATGTAGCCAAATCCAAATTTAATAGGAATATGACTTAGTTTGTTGTTGTTAGTCTTCGACATAATTATACTAGTGTTGGTTTTCCTTTTTTTTCCTCAATTTAACTTTCTTCAAGTAGTGACTGATGTTTCTCACCTGCTCCCATAGAGAACAATGGCTCATGTAAAAACACCATCCCACCTCTAACAAAATGTTGCTGAATGACAGTTAATAATATATTGAAATATCAAGTTTTTATTGTAGCACATAATTTGTCACCAAGAGCAGGAAAAGAAAGTAGCATAGTTCCCTATGGAACCATAATTTTTTATTTTTCTTCTACTTTATAAACAATATATGAATGAAGCTCCTAATCATCATTATATTCAGTTTTTCCCCTCTTCATGGACCTACACGACCTTTTTTTTCTCAGTCAGTACAAATTGAAGAAATAAGTTGGGAAAGAAAGTGTACACATCTGATTAAGCACCCAGATTGAAGCATAATAAGATAGTAAAGACTAGAACAAGACACCTGATACTGTCCAGGATTTTATGCCCTATTATAATTTTCTGCATGCACATTTACTGTATTTAGCATTTTATTCATATGACCATCAATCCTTCAATAATCACAAAATTTAAAAACTCAGGTATCAAAAGTTAAAAACCTCTGCTTTAAGGGAGATACGAGCATAACGATTCAGCTGCTTTTGGAGAGTCAAGCTACGTGCCTCGTCTTTTTGTTTGTACCTAGAGAACATACACATCATGCTCATAAGCATAAATCTATACGCTTAAAAATTTATGGGAAGAACATAACAACCAGCTCATGCATGGTTTTCATAGGAAATAACCTAACTATTCACTTTACGGGCATAATAAGTAATACTCGTAAGGAAATGAAATTAACTAACATAAATTTTAAATATGTGACAACACTGTTCAATAGTTTTCATTCATTTGAAGCACTCATGTAATATGTCTAAAAACTAGTTTCATTTATTTCAAGCACTCATGGAGAATTTACGAACATAAGAAGATATAAGTTCCAAAAAAAATATCTACATATGCCAATAAAAAAAAAAAACTTAGGGTGTGTTTGAGCCACATTATTTTGGAAGAATGTATTTTGGAATAGTAGATTGATAGAGAATAAGTGGTTGAAAAAGAAGGAAAAGTTATTGATGTGATGGAAAATATTATTTTATTGAAGAATGTGTGGTTGAAAATGAGTAGAAAAATGAAAATGAAAATTTTAATGTGGCCCAAACAAGGGCTAAAAATAACTTCAAAGAAAGTGGCAACTAGTTTTCACAGCAAAAAAGGGAAAGTACAGTATGCTCTCTTAAATAAGAGAACTTGGCAAGTGAACATGTCAAATATCCAAAGCTCTGCATTATATACCTTTTCGAAATTATTTCGAAGAGCTGACCGTATTGATCATTTACATCATAGGGAACATATTGAGGATCTTCTTTAGCAAGCAAGCTTCTATACTCCTCCAATGAGATATATTTAACAGCTGAAACTTCAGATTCCTTCAAAAAAGCAATTAGTGATATCAAATATTGAGAAATCTTAAACAGCAGAACAGTATATATTAGATTATTGGGGATAAAATAATAAAACCGAAAGATTAATCCAAGATATATATCTTCATCGATCACAATTCCTAATATGATGGCACCGAGCATAGTTCAACCAAATAAACTTGATAGCTACTAGTTATGAAACATATATGTGTCCACAAAGAAGTAACTCAGCAACCATTCCTTAATTAAACATATGATTGTATGAAAACAGAAGCATTTAGTATGCCACTAAGAAGAAGCTTACATAAGGGCAGATGAACGGTTAACTGAAGGTCTGGTTTGTAACGTATGTTCTTCATAATAATGATGTAGGAGAATCTTATTCTAAATAGGATTGATTTTTTTTCTCGTTTACTTCTTCTTTCTTATTTAGAATAAGATTTCTTTTTTCTTTTTTATTTAGAATATGATTTCTTATTTCTTTCATATTAGGATTTTAGTTTTCTTTTAGAATATGATTTCTTATTTCTTTTAGATTAGGATTTTAGTTTTCTTTCCTTTCAAAATTTTAGTTTAGTCTCCTTATATTAGTAAGATTAGAGAATTGCCTATGTAAACAAAGACTTTGTACACTTTAAATAATCAATTCAATATAACAAAATTATTCTCTACAAATTTTCTAGATTTTCGACTTTATTCTTGTTTCAAGAATTTCAATTTCGCTTTCGCGCTAAAATTGGTATCAGAGCAAGGTTTGCCCTTTGTTGATGACTACCTATTGTGATAGTGGCATGCATCCACGAGACAATGATCGAAGGATTACAAAATCAATCGTGGTCTAGAACCTAGACTGAACGATGGATATGTATGAATACGCAGCTGACAAAAATTTGCAGTCTTTAACTGCTATGAATGTTGGTTGCTTCCACAAGCACAAAACACAGCAACAGGCGATGAGAGAATTTCCTCGAGTCCCAATTGTGTTTGAATACCCACGAGTTATTAAGAACTCTGCGAAGATCTACTACGGAGATATAAAGGAGCCCAATTTGAAGCATTACAAAATTTTTAGAACACGATGCACCATCGATAACAAAGTATGCAACGTGATAATAAACCTTCGGAATAGTGAGAACTTGGTATCCAAAGCATTGGCAAAAGCTTTAAATTTGAAAACTGAAAATATTTATCTTCCTATCAAGTTATACAAGTTAAAAGGGGGCAAAAAATTCAAAATATGGAGGTATGCAAAAATTTTCTTTATATTGAAAAGTATTAAATAATAAGATTGTGTGTAACGTGATAGAAATAGACTATTGTCATACTTTAGCGACAACAATCATGGTACTATGATATAGATACCACTTACATAGGTCGAAATAACAAGTATACGTTTGGTGGTCCAATAAGAATATTGTTTTGGGGTCACATGATGAGCACTTTGCAATTACCAATGTAAACAAAGAGCAAGAGATAACACGGTAGATGATGAGGTTATAAAAATGTCATTCAAAATGATCGGGATGTTGCCAATCATGATCTAAAATGGAGGAAGAAAAGCATGTACAAGTCGAAAACTCAATACATGTTATTCCCTTATACATGGAAATAGATAATGGATAGAAGTGTAAGCATAAAAAATGCTATGCTGAAATTGCAATTGAAGACCACAAGATCGAGCCGCACTCCATTGATGAACGAGTTGAAATTCAGAAGAGTCCGACGGAAGAAAGGGGTTGAACTTTCTAATTACGAAATAATCAAAGAAGAACCTTATCAACTTGAGAATAAAAGTTTCGTTGACCTTCTCTACAATTTCGGTGCCAACGATTTGCACAAGCATAAGGGAAATATGGACAATGTTGATTTGAGTCCCCCGTACCAGTTCTTTTGTAATGAAGAAAGTTACTGAAGAAAGTTACTGGATATTATAACAGAAGCATGAAGAACTGAAAATAGCACCAATAACCTATACCAAGCGATGACACAAGGATGAGAAATCGAACCATGCTTCATTTATGAAGAAATGTCACGTAGGAATTGACCGTGAGGAAAACATATAAGATATGAGCAAAGTTGACTTCAAATAATGCAACCGAAGAATATAACGTTTATCGAGCACATCAAGAACCGGACATTTCTTCAATATTAATATTAACAAAAAAAAATTAATATTTTCCTCCCGATTGATTTTCTTTTCTACAACCAAACTCGATGATTTTTTTTTCCAAGTGAAAGGCCTGGATAGTAGATTGAAGAAGGGGGAGCCTGGTGTTTTATGCAAACTTGATGTGGAAAAAGCATATGATCACGTTAATTGGGAGTTCTTGCTCTACTTGCTTCGGAGATGTGGTTTTTCACAGTTATGGATTTCGTGGATTCGTTTCTGTATCTCTACGGTGCGGTTTTCCATCCTCATCAATGGTAGTCCGAGCAGTTTTTTCGCAAGTTCGAGGGGCCTAAGGCAAGGGGACCCGTTATCCCCCTTACTGTTTGTTATTGTTATGGAGGCTCTTAGTCGAATGATGGACCGTGCTGTTAGCGGAGGTCTTTTTTCAGGTTTCATGGTGGGGTCCCCTCATGATCAACAGGTATGGATCTCTCATCTGTTGTTTGCGGATGATACTTTGATTTTTTGTGATGCTGATCCGATTAAAGTGGAGCATTTGCGATCTGTTTTTCTATGGTTTGAGGCGGTTTCTGGGCTGAAGATTAATTTGGGTAAGTCTGAGATGGTTCCTGTGGGCGAGGTCCCTAATTTGGAGGACTTAGCTCACATCTTGGGTTGTCAAACGGCGTATCTCCCTATGAAATATCTGGGGATGCCTTTGGGCACTTCTTTTAAGGCCAAATCGATTTGGAATCCAATTATTGAGCGTATGGAGAAGCGCCTAGCAGGATGGAAACGTCTTTATTTATCAAAAGGTGGGAAGGTGACTTTAATTAAGAGCACTCTCTCTAGTTTACCCACTTACTTCTTATCGCTCTTCCCTATTCCGGCTGGGGTGGCACATCGTTTAGAGAGGTTACAGAGGCACTTTCTTTGGTCTGGCATGGGGAAGGAGACTAAGTTTCACCTAGTCTCGTGGTCTCAGGTTTGCGAGCCTGTTCAGTATGGAGGGTTGGGGGTGAAGAACCTTCAACGTTTCAATAAGGCTCTTTTATGCAAGTGGCTGTGGCGTTTTGGTGAGGAGAGGGATGCTCTCTGGCGGCAAGTGGTGGCTGCCAAATACGGCACTAATTGGGGGGGATGGTGTACCAAGGAAGGGAGGGACCCTCATGGGGTGAGTCTTTGGAAATTAATTCACCAGGGCTGGTCTTCGTTCTCGAAAAACTTGTTTTATTTGGTAGGGGACGGATCTCGGGTGAAATTCTGGCTTGATAGGTGGTGTGGTGATATGCCATTGAAGGAGGCTTATCCGGAGCTTTTTTCTATTGCTCTAGACAGAAATGTGTCAGTGGCCGCCCTCATGTCGCACTCTAATGGTATGCTCCACTGGAATGTACTTTTCACTCGAAGTGTGCAGGATTGGGAGTTGGAATCCATCTCCTCTTTTATGGATCTCCTCTACTCTATTAAGGTGCAAGGTACAGGGGATGATTTGATTAGCTGGGGGTCTCCGGCTTCTACAGCCTTTACTGTCAAGAGTTGCTACCGTTACTTGGGTTCCCCATTTCCTACATTTTTCCCTTGGAAGTCTGTTTGGAGATCCAAGGTGCCTCCTCGAGTGGCTTTCTTTTCGTGGACTGCAGCACTGGGGAAGATCTTGACTATCGATAACCTTCGTAAACGTGGCCTTATTTTGATTGATTGGTGTTGTTTATGTAAGGAAAGTGGGGAGAGTCATGACCATATTCTTCTGCATTGTAAGCTTGTTCGAGAATTGTGGGATTTGGTGTTCGGGCTGTTTGGGGTCCAATGGGTCATGCCAAGAACAGTTTTGGATCTCTTTTCTTGTTGGAAGGGGTCTAGTAGTTGTAGCAGGACTTCCAGGGTGTGGAGGGTTGTTCCCCATTGTATTTTTTGGTGTATTTGGAGGGAAAGAAATGCTAGACATTTCGAGGATACTGAGACCTCTACTCCGGAGCTGAAGCGTAGATTTTTTCAATTTTTGTTTGAGTGGGTTAAGGGCTTGGGTATTCTTTCCATTAGCTCGCCTGTAGAGCTGTTGGACCATTGTATTCCTTGACTCATTTGTCCTTTTGTATACTTCTAGTATACTGGGACCTTTTTTAATATATGTTTCATTAATTATCAAAAAAAAAACCAATTTTATTCTAAATAGGATTGATTTCATCTCTTTTTCTTCTTCTTTCTTATTCAAAATAAGATTTTTTTTCATACTTGGAATATAATTTTCTTATTTCTTTTAGATTAGGTTTTTAATTTTCTTTCCTTTTAGAATTTTAGTTTAGTCTCCTTACATCAGTAAGATTACGGAATTATTTTACATATAATCATATATAGCCCCTATTTAGTGCACATTTTGAGTCCAAGAATGCATTTTTTTGTTTGATATGACAGAGAATATGTGGTTGAAAAAGAAGGAAAAGTTATTGATGTGATAGAAAATATTATTTTATTTAAGAATGTGTGGTTGAAAATGAGTTGAAGAATGAGAATGAAAAAAATAATATGGCTCAAACAGGGGCATAATCAAAGATTTTGCACGCTTTTCAAATCAATTCAATACAATAAAATTATTCTCTACAAATTTTTTAGTTTTTGCAACTTTATTCGTATTTCAAGAATTTCAATTCCGTTTCCACAACAAAAGGAATCAAGGTTCAATAGTTTTTACAAATTTAACCATGATATGTGTGCATTCTAAACATCGCCACCTAGAAGGCGGATACAAAATCGCAAATTCCATCAGCTAGAACTCAAGAGGTGAACTAGTTTTTCCAATCATATTATGAACTCAGAATTCAAATATATGAATCTAGAGCAACAGTGTTCAACCGCCCCATTGCCCTATTTTAAGTTGTATAAGAAATTTGATACTAAATAAAAATCTCAACATTTCATTATTCATCAAGAAACCTATAAAATACAGCAAAGCTAGCAACAATTTTTTTGCCTCTTGAGCTAAACAATAATCTTGATCATATATTATTAGGCCATGCTTGAATATGAGTCTCATATGTGCACTCTATCGGATGTGTGAACTATTTAACGTGAGAACTTGAAAATATGTGCATATTTGTTCGCTTCATACTGAGGCCAATGTGTGTACTTTACTGCACATACAAGACAAAGAATGACAAATGTATGAATATAAAACATTGAATGTTGATTGTGAAATGGCAAGCAAGGATAGCTCAATCAACTAAACAGAAAACCTGCTTAATCACTTAGACTAGACATTCTGAGTGCCCTAATCCTAATGCGCATGTGATGGAGAGCTCCATGGTGGGTTGGTCATAGATTTGATATAAACTCATGAAATGACTTTTTGGGAAATAATAAGGTCATCGAGAATAACGAGAGATGATGGTATAAACTAACAAAATTATTATGTTGCTGAATCTGCTTTCAGACAGGTGTGAACAAAAATAATGAATGATTGACAAACATTTATCTACAAGAAATGAGTAATTATATAAACAACAGCCAACAATGGAAAACTGTCTAATGGAAAATATAAACCTTCAGACCTGAAGAGTGAAGGCCTCCAAAGGAATTGGATCTAGTGTCGTAACAAGATACACATCATTGTATTCATTGTTAATGAAATTGCCATCGTTTATGACGCTGCAAAACAAATGCAGAATCAACGTTTTCTGGCATCAATATACTTAATTAAAAAATGAAAAAAAAATACTGATTTAATAAGCACTCCTCGATGCACCAAAGCATCAGAACTACCACCATTTCATTTGGGAGTCTCAAAATTAAAGGGAACAAATTTTGCATGCAAAGGTAGAAATATGAATCAGGACACATGTACAACAATAGCACAAAGAATCAGTATAATTTATAAAGGATGTATGAACATTGCATACAAAAATAAGTATATTCAGTTCCTTGCCTAACAAGAAACGAAACGTCCAAATCTAGTACAAAAGTTCCTAAAGAAACTGCAAGATCATCCTAAGAAAAGGGAAAAAATGGCGAATCTCGGACTCGGACTCGAACTGAAGTGGTGAATTCCTACAGTGATGGAAATAAGGTTGGGACGGAGGAAACAAATCGGGTTGAAATGGCCTCAATGGTCAAGGTATATCGAGAGGAGGCACCTCGGGTTGAGGTAGGAGAGCTAGGTACTATGAATCTGAATTCAGAGTTATTGGCAACTACAAAATGTCCTACAAATGAGGGTGCGTTGGACGAGATTCCATCTATTAAGGGATCATTGTTTGTTAATGAGTAACTGAACGGATCTGTATTGGTTGATAGTTCAGCATTGGCAATGGAGAAACAGCAACGGGCGATAGTTTCAGCAACAATGGTAGTGAATACCTACTGTAGGAGATATTCTAAGCCTCTGAAGGAAAGGGATCCAGAAAATGATAATGCTTTGGTAGTGTGGGTTGGAGGCGCCGAGAAGGGGGATACAGATTGTGATGTTGTAAGGGTGGAGGAAGAGGGGGGGACGCTGTTATGATTCCATTTATGTTGAGGAGATTGTGGAAGTTAGTGCACTTGACGATAGACATTGACCGTTTTGGGTCCTTCAAAAAATTCTGGATTCCAGCAAGATGATAGGTGTATCATGTGATGGGTACGAAGATAAGCTTTTACAACTATTCGAGAAATTGGAGGCTAATAGGGGAAATAGGTTGGGTACATCAAGAGGAAAGATAAGAAGAAAGGGGGATCGGGAGCTTAACCGTCTCGAATGCTCAGTAAATTATGATCTCAATGGTAGAGAGTCAAGGAGATGTCACATGGGGAGGGATGACAATATTTAGATGATTCCAAAAATAATTAGTTGGAATGTGAGGGGGCTTAATGAAGCTGAGAAAAGATTCTGTGTTCGGAATCTATTAAGGGGATGGAGCGCTGACCTTGTATGTTTACAAGAAACAAAGTTGGAGATCGTTTCGAGGGCGGTTGTGTGCAGCCTTTAGGGGGGACAACATGTGGAGTATCAGTTTGTAGGATCATCAGGGGCTTCAGGAGGAGTGTTAGTTATGTAGGACACCAGAGTTTTTGATATGGAGGAGATTTGTGAAGGGTTATTCTCTCTATCGCTTTCATTTAGAAATATTGTGGATAGCTTTCGTTGGATGTTTATAGGAGTTTATAGGCCTAATGTAGATGAAAGTAGAGGTGGATTGTGAGATGAATTGGCTGGGATGATGAATTGGTAGAACCTCCCAACGTGTATTGGAGGAAATTTTAATGTGGTTCGATTTCTCACTGAGAGGTCCAATGGGAGGAGATTATCAGGGGGCTATGGAGGATTTTTCAGGTTATATTAGGGAGAATATGCTGGTGGGCAAACCTTTGATTGGGGGAGAATTTACTTGGTCATCCAATCGAAACTAACCCGTCATATCTCGAATAGATCGGTTTTTGATTTGTGGGGAGTGGGAGGCTAAGTACCCAGAGGTCAAGCAGAGGAGATTGGGGAGGTTGTATTAAGATCATTTTCCCATTTCGTTATCTGGGAATGCAAGGCACACTGGAAGAAGGCATTTTAGGTTTGAGAGGATGTGGCTAAAAGTAAATGGTTTTGGAGAACGAGTACGAAATTGGTGGAAATCCTATGACTTCAGAGAGTCTCCTAGTTATGTGTTGGATTGAAAATTGAAGGCTTTAAAAAAGGAACTTAAGAGATGGAATGAGGATGTAGTGGGAGATGTTACCTATCCCAAAAATCAATGCCTATCAGATATAGACAAGTTGGATAGAAGGGAGGAGAGTGGAGGACTGGTAGGGGAAGATAGGGCGAGACGTGGAGAATTAAGAGAAGAGTTGGAAAAGTTGGTGGATATGGAAGAGATTGCCTAGCGTCAGAAATCTGGGGTTAAGTGGTTGAAAGAAGGAGACAGATGTACCCAATTTTTCCATAAGGTAGCTAATTCCATCAGGCGTAACAATTTTATCGCTATGTTGGAGGTTGATGGGATCAATTATGAGGATCCACAAGACATCGGGACCCATATGGTAAACTTTTATCAGAATCTTTATCGTGAGCAGCTGGACTGGAGGCCAGAATTGGAGGAACTTGATTTTTCTACTATTACTGAGGATGTTAATTGGTTAGAAAGACCATTTGATGATGAAATTAAGGAAGTGGAGTTCAGCATGAATAACGATAAAGCTCCAGGACCTGATGGATTCTCTTTCTCATTCGATAAGGCTTGTTGGGAAATGGTGCGATCAGAGATTATGGAGGTTCTTACCTATTTCTTTCAGCGTGGAAGATTCTTAAGAAGTACCAATGCTACTTTTATTGTACTGATTCCTAAGAAACCGGGAGCAACGAATATTAAGGACTTTCGTCCTATTAGCTTGGTGAGTGGGGTATACAAGATTATCGCGAAAATTTTGGCGAATAGATTGAAAGAGGTGCTGGGGAGAGTGGTATCTAAATTTCAGAATGCTTTGTCAAACGACTTCAGATTTTGGATTCCGTCATTACAGCAAATGAATGCATTGATTCAAGATTGTGACTAGGAGTTCCGGGAATGCTATATAAGCTCGACATCCAGAAGGCTTATGAACACGTTAACTGGGGATTTGTTTTGCATATGCTTAGGCGATGTAGCTTTGGGGAAAAGTGATGCCAGTGGATTCAGTTTTGTATCTCTACAGTTTCATTCTCAGTTATGGTGAATGGCATTCCGGAAGGTTATTTTAGTAGTAGAGAATTGAGGCAAGGGGATCCTGTCTTCATTGTTGTTTGTCATTGTTATGGAAGCATTTAGTAGGATACTTGATAAGGTCGTGGGACAAAGTTCGTTAAGGGGCTTTGCTGTTGAGCAGTTGCAGGTTTCTCATCAGATGATACGCTGATTTTCTGTAATGTGGATGATGAGCAATTCAGGAACTTGCGTCGTTTACTATTGTGCTTTGAAGTCGTTTCTGGATTGAAAATAAATTTGGAAAAGTCTGAGGCTATCATAGTGGGAGAGGTCGATAACGTGGAATTGGCAGCGATCTTTGGTTGCAGGGTGGTGCAATTGCCTATGACATATCTTGGGCTTCCTTTAGGAACATGGTTTCAAAGCACATAGATTTGGAACAGTATTGCGGAAAGGACAGAGAAAAGGCTAGCAGGATGGAAACGTATGTACCTTTCAAAGGGGGCCGTCTTACCCTCATAAAGTCTACTTTGTCGAATCTCCCTACTTATTTCATATTTGGAATGGGATCATCGAAAGGATGGAGAAGAGGCTAGCAGGGTGGAAGCGTATGTATCTTTCAAAGGGTGGCCGCCTTACTCTCATCAAATCCACTCTTTCCAGCCTCCCTACTTATTTCTTGTCATTGTTTCTCATTCCTGTTACAGTAGCAAAAAGATTAGAGAGGTTCCAAATGAAGTTTCTTTGGGGAGGATTAGGGAAAAAGAGGAAACTACATTTGGTTAATAAGGCCTTATTAGGTAAATGGTTGTTCTCCTACTGGATTCGGTAGTATCGGAATGAGAAGTCTAGTACTGTTTAATAAGGCCTTATTGGATAAATGATTGTGGTGATTCGGAGTGGAGAGGGAGAGTTTTTGGAGAGATATCATAGGGGCAAAATATGGTGTTATGGAGGGGGAATGGTTCTCAGGTGAGAGACGTGGTTCTTATAGGGTGAGTTTGTAGTGGTATATCCAGCGAGGGTGAAGCGACTTTCAGGATCGGTTGTCGTTTGTAGTGAGGAATAGAAATACCACCAGCTTTAGGATGATTGTTGGTGTGGAGATCAACCATTTAAGGTGGGATTTCTTTCTTTATATCGTATAACATTGGAGCCGTATGCCATGGTGAATGATGTCTTAGATATCCATAATGGGAGCTTTAGTTGGAACATTATTTTAGGCCGGGGTTTGCAGGATTGGAAATTGGATGATTATGCGCTGTTTTTGACATCTTTATACGAGATACATATCAGGGCAAGAGAAGGTGATTGTAGCAGATGGAGGTTGACACAAGATGATATTTTTTCAGTTCGCACTTATTTTAGATCCTTATTGGGTCTTGTAGAGATTTCATTCCCCTGGAAAATGGTATGGAAGTGTAAACTGCCCCCCACGCGTGGCATTATTACTATGGATGATGGTCAGAGGACAGGTGTTAACGGTTGATAACCTCTGTATAAAGGGTTTTTATGTTACAGAAGGGTACTATATGTGTAAAAGGGATGAGGAGACAATTGATCACTTATTCCTTCATTGTGATGTTGCTCGTTTACTGTGGAACTATATTCTGGTATCGCAACACATGGATTGGGTGTTACCAAGGAGTATGGAGGACATGTTAAAGGCATGGAGGAGAAAGTTTCGTGACAATGATAGCAAACTTGTATGGGACCTTATTCCAGATTGTACCATATAGTGTGTATGGAGAGAAAGAAACAACCATTGTTTTGAAGGCCAATCAAGGACAATAAAGCATATTAGGGAATTATTTTATTTTACATTGTATACTTGGTTTAATCTCTTGAAGTTTTATTTTTATTTTTATTTCTTATATTTTGAACTCAAATTATTATTTGCGTTTTTTAACTTTTAAAATGAAAAAAATATTGTAAGATTCACCAACTTTAAAATGTATATATTACTTAATAATATATTAATATAAAATCGTTCTATTTTAATAAATAATCAAATTTCATGGGATAAATTTTCTTGAAACAATTTTTCAAAATTTCAAATCGAACATGTTTTTAAGTTTACTATTTTGAGAATGAGCTTTTCAAAACGATAAAGCAAACACATTTTTAGCTATCATAAAATATAACCTCAAAACAAAAAACTAAAACAAACTGAAAATTCAAAACTAAAAACTAAAACACAAACCAAACGGGCTCTAAATATTCTAAGTATTTTCAAAACTTTGCAACAAATATTTCTTATGTATTTGCTTTTCTTTAGTCTCCTTTAACGTTCTCCGCAAGCTCGGTATGGCTAAATGCTGTAATTTCATTCAAACTACGTATTCTAAGATGGGATATAGTAAATATTGGGCTCAGATTGGACACAAAACTTAATCTATATTCAAAACAACCAAATACCATATTGAAAGGAATCACATTGGTCAAAGTCGAAACTAGTTTACAAGTATATAGTATAAGTTCCTATGGCATCAACAAGGAAGAGTGAAAAGAAAGGAAAATGGTGCAGTAAGAGTAATTAATATCAGCTCACCTCAAAATAATCGTGCAAAATTGAAAAGATGAATTGATGCAATTTATTGACTAACCACTCTTGAAGAAAAACAAATAGCGGTTCAAATGCATCCTTCGGAAGTATAATACCAAGCTCCTCATGAAGTTCCCTCCTGCAAACACGAACAATTTCTGTATGAGGTAGAAGAGCCATTCATCGAGTAACCAGAAATAGAAATGAAAAGAAAATTTATTAAGTACTTTTAGTTATTACTGAAAAGGAAAATATCAAACTTATGCAGTTTCCCCATCGTTAGTAAACAGATATATAGCATCTGTGAATTAATTTAGCAATCATCTTGTGAAGAAAAAGATAACAATATTCTTTGCCTCCACCTATTAGAATACTAACACTGATGTTCGGTTAGATTACTTGGGGGGAAATATCAAATATTTTCTTAATGGAAAGTATATCAGAATATTTCAAAATGCTTGAGATCGGCACAATGATCACATATCCTCATTATATATAATTTGGAAAAGGGAAACAAGAAAGTAATAATACTGTAAATTCGTTACTCAGCTTATCTCTGATACATCAACACAGACACGTGTCCGGCACGATATGCATTGGATACGCCAACACTCGATTTTTCAAAAAAATACTGACACAACACATTAATTAAATTCTTTAAAATTCTTCATTTATATAGTATAAATTTAGTTTTATACTTGTTATTTATTTTTCTTTTTTAAATCTTTTAAATATGAGTACTTATTTGTTATTTACTAATAACTTTGAGATAAAAATATATAATATTATAATAAAAAAGAAAAATGATTATGGTAGAGTGTCCATATTGCAGAGCAGCTTATTAAAGCCTTATTCAGGAATAAGAACAATGATCAACCTTCTTTTAAGCTGCTCGACTGTTTCTTACGCATAGTACAATTGAAAAAGTGCCCTCTCTTGTAGAAGCATTTTCTCAACCAATATTCTCAAACCTTATTCTTTGCATTTATATTATGCTGTAAATATTTTAGGTTAATATTTTTTTTTTTTTTCAGATTAGACAGTACTTAATACATTATCAGCTCATATCAGTACTATGGTATTGCATATATGTGGTTTTATCCGAACAGATAAAACGGAATGGATGAGAAATCTCATAGGGCTTCTCAATATGGAGACTCGTGAAGTGAGGAGAAAGTCGCTCTTGGACAGACACCAGAGGATCACAAAATAAAGAAGGGCATGAGTGACGCCCAAGAATGAAAAGCTCATAAGTTTCTAGATAGGGTGATTTACATCAAATCCATTTCAAATAATAATAATCAACCTAAATAGATTGCCTTACCTGGCTGTGACAAGAGATGAATCTCCAGCAGAAATATGACCAGCACTAGAAATATCCCACAGACCAGGCCATGAATCTTTGCATTCAGCACGTTGCTGAAGGAGCAGTTCTTGTGTGCCCTCAGAAAATATCCACACATGAACAGCCCTGTGGTAATCACCATCTCTATGGACTTCTCCCCTGTAAAATTAATACAATATAAATGTGCATATAAGTACTTCGGAAGCAGGTTCAAGATTATTCCGTTAAATGTTGACAAAACAAAGATAAAAGTATAAAAGAAGGGTACAAGAAACACGATTAACAAAATTATCAGTGTAATAACCAAAAAGTAGGGTGATTGGTTGAACATCACTATTTCTGCAATAATAAATTAGCGCATTTCACTTTTTACACTAGTAGGCAAAAGATTTTTCTTTACAGTTTTGAGCATTAAGATAATTGGTAGTAGACATATAATAAATTTTTAATAATATATTATCATCTGCCACTATTTACTAGCTTGAACATAACATATAGCTTGGAAAAATAGTCACAACAAGTGGAAGTTTCAACAAGAAGGCCCAAAAACAGAGTCCTTGCTAATGTAAGGACATGATTCCATTTCCAACTCTTTTTTCTTTCTTTTGGATGAGAGGATAGAAAAAGAAACTTCAATCTAGTAATAATTGTTCAATATAAATGTTCACGAATAGGATGTCCTCCTTGTATCAAGAAGAAGGCCATGTTTGGGAGGGATTAAATTTTTCTACAATAAATCAATTCTCATTTTCAACCACACATTCTTCAATAAAATAATATTTTCCATCACATCAATAATTTTTTCTTCTTTTTCAACCACACATTTCCCATCATATCACTATTCAAAATCAATTCTTCCCCTATCAATTTTCATTTTCAACTACACATTCTTCAATAAAATAATATTTTCCATCACATCAATAATTTTTTCTTCTTTTTCAACCACACATTTCCCATCATATCACTATTCAAAATCAATTCTTCCCTCAAAAATCTATCCCAAACAAGCTCTACGAAAGATTATAAATCTACAGCATTCCAATTTTTTACACTTACTACACGTTACTTTAAAATAAATAGTTGCCATAATAAGAAAAGGGGTAAATTTCAGAAATCTCCCTGATGTTCATGACAATTTCGAAGTTGCATATTAGAAAATTTTCAGTTACTGTTGTCACCCGGAATTCATTAATTTAATTATATAATATGCAGACAATAAATAAGTCAATCAGCAATATACCTCCGTTTAATTTCCCAAAAAATAAGAAAAATGTTGAAAAGATCGACGCTAAAATAGAACTGGCTTAAGAAAAAAAATAAACAGAAAAATAATGTGAATACATTAAAAAACAACAATAAGCATGGTAAAATCAGCATATTTATTTATTTTATTTCTGGGTTGCATTTCTATTTTTCCTTTTCTTTTTTCTTTTTCTTTTTCTTTTTCGTGGCATTCAAGAATTCAGGTCACCTGGGCTTAGAGATGCCGGTTTTCTCCCCAGTTCTTGTAAGGACATCAAGGCGTTCTTCTTGTATTACTTCAGCAGCCATTGCGTTTTTCACGAGAGTCAAAAGCTTGTGCAGAATAGTCAGAAAGCACATTGTTTCAAGCTACTTATACTGGAGAAGACAGAGCTATAGCACAATTTGTGAAAAAGCCTGTACTTGGGTAACGCGACTTTAATCATGGAAGAGTATAATAACTGAAATAATGTTAGCCCTGTTTGGGCACCTTATTTTCTCATTAAAATGAAAAATATAATCTTTATCTATCATATCAACATTTAAATTTAAATTTTTCATCTCTTGTGTGGCCCCAATAACGACTTTATTTTTCATTCTCATTCTACAAAAAGGTGGGTCAAACAAGACCTTAGAAAACAAATTTTTAAAAGGTCTCATGGAAGCATCGATTCTTTTCTTAACAGATGGGGGAAATATTTAGTAGTTGATGAATAGATTCTTATCTTAAGATGGGAAAATTCGCAATATTGTCGTTTTATTCCATATGTTACCTTGATATTTTTGTTTTACTGTCATCCAAACAAAAGTAGATGGAGGTGTAGTTTCTAGACAATACTGAGATTTGAGAAATTTTTGTTTGTATAATTTTTATATTTGTGTTTTTTGCCTTTTTTGCTTTTATATTATTATACTTTGTGTATGAAAATTTTTTCGATGGGTAAATTAGATTCGTTTGAATTTAAGTTATGACTCCCACTGCAATCATCAACGCGTCTAAAAGAAAGAGAAGGCATCTTTTAGTGACCCGCATTAGTTGCGTATAGCACAAGAGAAAGATATTAGTACAAATAAATTAAGTAAAGTTAGTCAAGTGTGAGATATTTTACGGTCAAAATTTACCCGTTTTAACACATAAATCTAGTGGGAGGCAATTGATATAGCCAAGATTGACTAATTTCGTGGATGAATCGAGCTTGCCTCATGTCTGAATCTTAGGCTCGGCTTGGTCCTTTGCGCGTGATCCTCATGGACTGAGCCGAGCAATCCAAATGTCAGCTCTTTTTTTTCTTTTTTTTAAAAATTAATAAAAAAAACTCAAAATGATTAAAGAAAATGATCCAGCCTACAGGCCCAAAACAAGCTAGCTCATGAAAAATAAAAAATAAAAAGAAGAAGAGCTCGGTTAGGTCCCATGGCTTGCCTCAAAACGAGCATGATCGGTCCATGACCAATTTATGATGAGTGAAGCTTGTTAACTAACAAATCGTTTGACATGTTTACGCCTACGTGAATGGTCATTCAAACCTTTTTATAAGTGTTTAATAAGTATTTTAGTGAATAATTTTTTGTATCGATTACTTATAAATCGCATATATTGTTGAAAAGTGACTATATTGTTAGTTTATAACTGTTTGAGTGAATAATTTGTGTTTCGCGCGGGTTATCGCTAGCAATTAGAAATGGGATCAGACTATTGTGTAAGGAACAAATCTCTTGAGACAAAGTCCCAAAAAGGAGTGTTTTATTGGTGAAGATTACAATTGATAATAAATAGAATGCCTCCAAGGGGGCGCAAGCATACGAATATTAAAAAGAAGTGTTTAAAGTTAAACTAAGAAATTGAAATTACATATTCTCTGTTGAGAGTATTTGATTCGGGGTTCTTTTCCTCTATGTCTTCTCTTCCTTTTTATACTCCCTTGATAATTTCTTTTTGACAAATTGCTTGAAAACTATTTGATTATTCTGTAACTACCCACTTTCTTTATGATGGCTGACTTGTCGTGGAACTGCTATCTCTAACTATTGATATTACTCTTGTCGTTTAACCGCCTACAACTAGGATCCTTGGATCGTAGGGTGTGATAGGATTGCTCAATAACTGCTGTATTAGATAATCATAATAGCTTAGATTCGCTCAATTCCTAGGCGACTAGAGGGTTTTGGCGAGAACGGGGTCGTTGCTCTGGGCGACCATAAGGCATTCCATTCGCTCAAATTCTGAGCGTCTTGCAAGCTTAGGCGATGATGATACTTTATTCGTGGGCCTCCATTGCATTCATTAATGGTCATATTTGGGCCTTCATCCTGGAAATCTCAATTGGGATTCACTCCTTGGACTATTCAATTTGGGCTACACTTTTTGTATGTCAACAATTACCTCCAATATGGTAGAATTAATATCAATTATTAATTCATATTCTTCCTTTGTATTTTCCTGCAATATTTGAAATCCCAAGAATTTCAATCATTATTTCCGTTTGGTGGCAACCATTCTATAGCCTAAAAGGTGCAACGTTACAAACCCTTATAAACCCAAAAGACACGTTACTTCATCACACCATTACCTTCATGTTTTTACATCGTGCGTTCTATAAAGGTCACTGTTCATTATCTTACTTCCTCACTCCGCTTCTCAAGAATCCTTACAACATCTGTACTTTGCATCTCATAATTTGTAATAAGTATTCAATAATAAAGGAATTTATTTGAACGTACTAAGTTCTTGTATTATTTACTTATGATCGTTCATCACAATTATTTGATTATACCTTTATTTGTTCACTTTCCTATAAGGAATGAACATATTTTTTTAAGTATTTGCCGTTAACGAATCTCATGTGCTTAGTGTCATCTAAATCTTCTAAATGATAGGCTTCATTAGGCAATATACTGTTCACTTTATATGGCCTTTTCCAATTGGGTGACTACTTGACATACTTTAGATCTTTACTATCCAAAAGGAGTATTGTTTTCCAAACAAACTCGCCCAGGCTAAAAGATTTGGCTATAACGTTTTTGTTATAAAATTTAGTCATCCTTTGTTTTTGAATTTGTAATCTATTTAGGACGTCCAATTTTAATTTATCAAACTCCAATAAGTTTTGGACTGATGACTCTGCATACTCACAATCGCTTAACTTATGTTACAAACACACTTTGATTGATTGTACATTAATTTTGATAGGCAAAACAGTCTTATGTCCATAAGTAAATTGAAAAGGAGTAACTTTGGTACTCGACCGAGGCGACATCCTATAAACCCATAAGGCCTTGTTTAAACATTCGTGCCAATTTTTGACATTTTCATCTATCATTTTCCTTATAATGAGTGTAATACGGTGTGGAGTTTACTAACTTAACTCTAAGCTCGCTCAAAAACTCCTTCACTTGATCTCCATTCGAGGAAGTCCATGATCCACCATCAAAGTTTGTGGAATCCCAAATCTTAAATAATATGATCACGGATAAAATCTATGATACTCTTCTAGGTGATTTCCTTTAAAGGTATCATTTTCATTTCCTGTCCGTTAGAATGAGCATAATACGGTGTGGAGTTTACTAACTTAACTCTAAACTCGCTCAAGAACTCCTTCACTTGATCTCCATTCAAGGAAGTCCATGATCCACCATCAAAGTTTGTGGAATCCCAAATCTATAAATAATATGATCGCGGATAAAATCTATGATACTCTTCTGGGTGATTTCCTTTAAAGGTATCGCTTCTATCCACTTAGTGAAGAAATTTGTTGCAACTTTACAACTGTATGTTATTTGGACGATGGGGGGTAAATCTTTCTTATCAAGTCTATTGCCCAACTTTTGAACGGCCAGAATTTGATAATGAGTGTCATTTCTCTTGCGGTGCTCTTTGTATTGGACCATGTTTTTGGCATGCGAAACAACTCTTCGCATACTGAACACATGATTCTCCTGGTAATCAATCATCTCATCCTTTGGCCAGTTTGATGAGCTCTACATATCCCTTCATGCACTTCAACCATAATCGTTCTGACTACTTGCAAACTTACACATTTTAGTAGTGTACCATCTGAGTGGTTCTTAAATAACTCTTCATTTATCAATACATAATTCAACGAACACAACTTCATTTTCCTACTACTTTCCTTATTAGGTTCTTTGAATAACCTTTCAATCTCTGCCCTCGAATCTATTGCATCTCCATCTTGTATACAATGAACTCCGATCCTTCTCGCCTTCCTTTGGACTATGGGCAATATTACTCTATATTCACAAGTAGACTCTCAATTTAAAGCTTTTAAATAATCTGAAACCATTTGGGCCAACTCATGTACTATATCATTATACATCCTATTAACACATTGAAATTCTACTTTGTCAAATTCTTCCAACAATTCTTGGGCGATTTTGTATTGACTTACAACGGAATCGCTTTGGCACTTAAAATCACCAATCAATTGGTGAATTACCAATTGAGAATCGCCCCTAATGATCACATTTTTTATTTCCATATCTATCATCAACTCTAAGCCCACAATTAAGGCTTCATATTCAGGTTGAGTGTTGGTACACATCCTATCTAAAGTGAATGTTAATTTGTAACAAATACATAAGGGATTTATCAATGCTATTCCTACCCCTGCACCTCTGGAGGTTTTTGATCCATCGAAGTATAAGATCCAAAGTTTTAATTCAAATGAATTTATTTCTAATTCAATCTCTCCAGGCATGTCAAGACATGGATGATCGGCTAGAAAATTAGCCAAAGCCTGATTTTTTACTGCCTTTTGGGGTCTGTATTGTATTTTAAATTCTAACAATGCTAAAGTCCAAAGGTCTACCCTTTGGTGTCAAATAGAGTGAGAAAACATATACTTAACCAAATTTACTTAAGAAATTAAATAAACGATTACAGACCGTAAATAAGCCCTTAATTTTGTACATGAAAAACATAAAGCAAGACATAATTTTTCAATAGCAGAATAATTACATTCACATTTTATTAGCCGTCTACTCAAATAATAAATCGCTATTTCTTTACCAAATTTGTCTTCTTGTGCGACCATCCTACTATTGATTCTTGTTCAGCTGATACATACAATTTCATTGGATTTGTGACACCAACACTGGTAGACTCAATAAATATGTCTTTAGGCTTTCAAAAGTATTTTGATACTCTTTTTTTCAGACGAATTCGTCCAGCTTTAAAAGATGCGAGAAAGTTTTCGTTTTGGCTTGCCCCTTTCTTTTTATTAGTAAGATAGATTTCGAACCCTATACAAGGGGATGCCTTGCTGCTCGCCCCTATCTATAAAGGGGTTTATGTACTAAACTTGTTAATTCGCCCTACCCAATTAGAAATAAAGCATATTAAA